CCATAGTAAAAGAGAACAGTATCAAACAGCCCCTTAAGTGCAAGAGACAGGTGCATTTAAATTGCATAATACATTTCCTGTCAGTGCACTTTTAAATATTCACAGAAGGGCAACTATTATCACTCCACTAAAGCAGTACTTAATACTGCGCTTTGTACGATAATGTCGATAGAGATTTTGGAAAAAAGGGATCTTCTTAAATTCAGTTTACACCTGAACATCCACTTGTATATTATACTGTATTTGGTTAGCTGTATGGTTACCTATGTGATGAAAGAAAAATCAAATACAGACATATTTTACACAATCTTCAGTAAACACCTGATATATGAGTTTTTAAAGGTACTAGAGGAATTATGCTGTTGCCAAACGACGCAAAACACTCAAGTTTTGCATGCTATGGTCGTTGCTTTTGAAAAAGTTTGGAGCTTGTTGGAATAAACTGTTGATGAACTAAGCAGCAGGTGATTCAGACTGATCTCGGGGATTAAGAATGTGACGAACTTTTGAAGCATCAGTCACAATTCCAACGAACAATGTTTCTTGGGAGTGGAAACCCAAAGAAAAGGCAGCTTGGCAAATAAAGCTTCTCGGTCTTCGTCAGATAATTGGTTTTTGTTTCTTGGTCTCTTACTTTTAGTGTAATGGGTCTAACAGGGACGGGAGCGACTGTTTCTTTCGACCTGGAAACTTTGTTAACTGAGCTCACTTTAACTCAAAGTACTGGGGCGAGAAAATTCTGATTGTCCTTCAAGGGATTACGTTGCTTGCGGCCTCGAACTGCTTGGAGTTACTTGGTTTTTCTTACTTTCTTTTTTTTTTCTTTGAATTGCAAGCAAGCATCTGCATATACAAGTCAAGAGGTGCCCCTGCTAAAGGAATTGGGCCACCCCAGCATTGCTGGGAAAATGGCGCTGACCTAGTAAGTTCATGAGATATTTGTCTGTAGATGGTACAGAGTCAGAGGTACACATTGAAAGGTACTTTTGTTTTCCACCAAGGTATTTTGCTCACATGTACTGAATGAATCCTGAAAATATAGTAAGTTCAAGGTTAGGTCGCTATAAAGGGTCATATTATTTTTGTTTTGCTTATGAGAATTTATTTTCAGCTCTCATGAGTCGAAAAGGTGCTGAACTGTCCACAGAGACAAAAGAATCAATTATTACTCTGTCGGAATCCGTGCAAAACAAAGCGGAACTGTCAAGAAGGTTCAACATTCCAAGAACGACTATCACGAGCGTTCTAAGCAAGTACCGAAGGACTGGCACAGTGGAGAGTTTGACACGAAGTGGCAGGAAAAGGAGCTTCACAAATAGAGATGTATAGGGATGTATTTGTTATGATGGTGTTGGAATTAGACAAGAACTTATGGCCAGTAGTTGTCTGGTATTTTGAAGGAAAAGAATACTTGTTCATGGATGACAATGCGCCTGTTTAAAGAGCCCACACTGTAAAAAATTATAAAGATCAAAACGAAGTAATCTCAATGGAATGGCCAGCACAATCACCAGATTTAAATATAATAGAAAATATCTGGCTCTACATGAAGAGAGAGCTACAAAAGTCCACAGTAGATATCGCTAGCTAAAATGATCTTCTGCACGAAATCCAGGGCATGTGGCGCAACATCAAATTGGATTGTATAAGAAACCTTTACCACTCATACCGACCGCCTAGACAATGTAATTAAAATGAAGGGTCATCTTACTAAATATTAAGGTGTTTTAAAGTTAGATTTGCCGCAAACGGTGTTAAAACTAACGCGCGTAAAATGTAAACAAACGCCGCCATATTGAAAGTGACGAATACTTATGTCCCCCTAGTATTTAAATTGACTGTATTTCTTGCATGATAAAATGGGAATCATAACCCCGTCGCAGATTATGGAATATGACAGGGTCTTGAACTCCTTTGAACTAAT